TGGACTGACACAGTGACGGGGCTTACACACAGCAAGGATGTGAGCGTGGCCCAGGAGCGGGCAGGGCTGGCTTCCGTCGTCTGTGGGGTTGCTGTGAGTCAGAACCCAACAACAGTAACTCAGTCTTATTGACTCCCTCTGAGCACCACTCGATCTGAAATAATGTTCTTTTTGTTATTCTGGGGCCAATAAAGGGCTGCATTTTGAAACCGCATATTGCCTTGGGGGTAATAAATTATCAGCATCCAAAAATAACTATTAAGTGGGGGACTGGCTGATTTCAGAGTTCTGTTATGCAGAGCAGTGGGACTGCAAATCATGATTTAAATTGTTGCCAGTGTCCTTGCTTGTCTCCAAGTGGAGTTCACATCTGTCTCTCAGCTTTAGAGATCCAGGGTCAAAGGGTCTGAGAGCAAAATACAGTCAGAATTGGATTCCTCCTGGGAGGCACCCTGGCCAGCCACCAGACCAGAGAAGAGAGATCACAGGATGGTGGCCCTGAATCTCACCAAGTGGAATGGAATGCACAGGAAGCCATCGTGGTCTTGCCTTGGGACTTTGAAGCTATTTAACTGCTTCTTTAGTAGTAAGAATCTGCATTGCAATCCCAAAGGCTCATGGTTCAAATCTACCAGTTGCTCTGTGGGGAAAAGATGGGCACTCTCTTCTCGTGCGATTGTGCCTCTGAAAACTAACTGGAGGGTCAGTTTCCACTCGATGGTAAACAATGACCACAACTCTAAATGAAGGAGGTCTGGTGGGTTAGTGGATAAGGACGCAAAAATGATGATTCTCATTAGTAGAGCATCTTTCAAAATTGTGGTTCAAGTATGTGTAACAAAACATTTGCCGTTTTAGTATCTTTTCATATACAGCTCAGTGATCCCGACTTCATTCAGCATGTTGCTCAGCCGCCACCGCTCTCCATTTCCACATATTTTACTCTTAACCAAAACTGTGGTTTTGGTGAAGATTATTGAATAAATGGCAGAATGCCCAAAGGATGAAGTGCAATCAGAATGCCCCTTAGAAAGAAGGATGGTGAGATCTCTTCATGCATGCCGTGTGCACGTCCCCGGAGAAGACATTATTCTTGGAAGAGTGGAGGGCCAGTGAAAATCGGGAAGGCCCCCAGCGCTGTGGACTGACACAGGGAGGGCAGCAATGGGCTAAAGCGTGGCAGGGATTGTGAGGGCCACGCAGGGTTGTGTTCTGTGGTCCATGCGATTGCTCTGGGTCGAGCCCACTGGCGGGCGTCTAACCAGAATAGCTGAGTGCTACTTCTACAGCAGCTCCACCCCCGCCCAGTCTCTCCATACCTGAGATTTGTTGTTTATGAGAGCAGTTGTCTGTCAGCTGAGCAACTTTCTGGACTGATTCTGTAAAGTCTGAATCTTTGTTAGGTGTGATCCCTGAAGTCTTTGCTCAGTTAGGTTGGTAATCAGTTAATGATAGGAATTGCCCATCATTCTTCCAAAGAGCAGCTGGTGGATGGATTCAAACTGTGTGTCTTTGGGATTGCAGCTCTGCTTCTTACCACTAGGCCATTAGAGTTTCTGATGATTATCCAAAGATTTCCTCACACATCAGGGATCAGTGAGGCTCCCAGTCCTTACTGAGGGCTGTGGAGGGGGATGCCTTTGGGTTTAGCCAGGCATTTCACCTTCATGTCACTAAGGCTGTTATTCCCTTGGGTTCAGAGGGGCTGCTTTCATGGAGGCTCAAGCCTGGCCAGTGGTTCACAACCATCACCTTCTCAGCTTTCCCTGACCATCTACATAGTCAGATGCATGGGGAGACCTTCCTGGAGATGTCCAGGAATCTATCAGAGCCTGTCTATTTTTTTAATTGTGGCTTTTTAATTATTGCTTAAATTGTGATTTGAGTGAAAGTTTACAAAGCCTATTGGATTTTTAAAAATTCAGTCATACACGTTTTGTTCCATAACATTAGTTACAATACACACAATGTCTGAACATCAGAATCTCTTTAGACATGCTTTTTTTTTTATCCTGCTCAAGCTTTTAAAGTAGCTTATTGTTTGCCTCTTAGAAGTGAGGATGATGAGACGCGAGACTTTGTTTTACTTTGTCATGTAATCAAGAGAGATCAATCCCTATAGAAGCACAATGGTAGAGTCAGTGAAAAAGAAAAAAGACCTTCCGTCAGCTGGACCCACACAGGGGCTGCGACAAGGGGTCCAGGCACAGCACGTGTTGTGAGGATGATGCCTGACTGGGCAGTGTGTTATGTTGTGCTGTGGTTGCATATCTTTAAGTCAGGATTGACCCATAGCTGACCGTCCAGTGGGTTTTCAGGGGCAGTGAACTGTGTGGGAGGAGACTGCCCATCTTTCTCCCGTGGAGCAGCTGGTGGACAGGAATAGCATGCCTTTGGGTTGAAAGCAGAGCTTCTTACTCTGTGTCACTCGAGCCGCAGTACCACCTTAATGGCAACTAGCAACAACACCTCTTTGCCCCAGCTTTTATCCACTGCCTTAGGTGGCCGTGATGTCAAACAGGAAGTAAATTGCCTGCAATTGCTTTTGACAGATCCCCCAACCAGAAGGCCCAGGATCCGGTCAAATGCTAGTAGACTTTCAAGTATGGCCTTCCAGCTGGGGAACAGGGACAGTTCCATGGGGACAAGGCTCTGCAAGGTGTCCAGCTGTGATCTGCTTCCTCTGGTGGCTGCCAGGCGCCAGGTCTACTGAGAAGATGGAATATTATGATTTAAAGGTATTTAAGGAGCTGAGGAGTAGGAGATGGGTGCAGGTCAAGTTAAAATACCCGAGAGCTCTCTGTTCCTAACACTATACACTCATAGTTTTCTTGAGTAGTTAATCCCTGAGCAGACAAGTCTTTGGTTCATTTCAGATTCAGAAAAGGATTTTTCCCCCCAACTTTCTCATTGTTTTAATGTCGATGAGAACTTGTGGGTGTCTGTCCTTCCTCCGCGTTTTCCCTAATGTCACTCTAATAACATGACCTCCATATAGAGGACTCGAACCACCCACACAAAGCTTAAAATCGAGAGCTTGTATAAGTAGAAATGGCATAAAGGCTTGCCTTTAGAGGCCACAAGAGTGTGGTTCATAAAGTGTCATGCTGCTGATTGAAGAAGGGTCAGTGGTTCAAATCCACCAACTGTAGGAGGCAGGTGGAAATCTCCTCCCATAGAGATTTGCGATCTTGGAAACCCAATGCAGAGTCACCATGAGTTGGAATCAGTGTGACAGCAGTGAGTTTTTAGAGGCTGTGGATGGACGCCAGAAAACATGGGTGCAAACTTCCAAAAGCGAACCTCAAGCCTAACCCACTGTCATCTGGTCAGTGTCAGCTCACGGTGACCCTGCGGGACATGGGAGAACTTCCCCGGAGGGCCCAAGGCTGCAGGTTGTCACAGAAGCAGGCTGTCTCATCTTTCTCGCAGGTGGGTTCACACCACCAGTGTTGAGACTACCAGCCCAGAGTTCCAAGCCCTGAGCCACCAGGGCTCCTTGTAAGCATCCCCAGAAAACCAGCTGCATAGAAACTTGTGAGGAAAACATCAAGTGGAACCCTTAGGATTTGTTGTGAACAGTGAGGCTCGTCCCTCCTTGGATCTCACCCGGGGAGAATGACTACAGTGGAAGCAGCCTCTGCCACTGCCGTCGTGGTCTCTGCCTTTCAGTCGGAGCCTGCAGTGCTCTGGTGGCCCTGCCCACTGGCTGCCTGTCCCTGCTGCTGCTTTTCCTTTGAAGACTGGGAGCTGCTAGAGGGAAACGGTTGATGTGCTCTTCCCTCTCCGCCCCGCGTGGTGTCTGGACTTCTGTGCTTTAGTCAGGACTCTCGGTTGCAGGTGACAGAAAATCCAGTCCAAACTATCCCCACTAACTAAAAAAAACCAAACTGCAAACCCACAAAACCTCTCTGCCTTTGAATCTGAACCACCTCAAAGCTAACCTTTTAGTGGCTTTTCAGGGGCCACAAATCCCATGGGAGGAGATTGCCCATCGTTCTTCCACAGAGGAGCTGGAGGATTCAAACCACCTGCCTTTGGATCGGTGGCCCAACAACTCCTTACTCACGAGGCCGCCAGAGCACACTGCTAGAGCAGTTTCTTTGATAAGATGCGTCTCCGCAGATCGCAGGCGGGATTCAGGAACTATGACAGCTTTCCCCAGGAATCAGTCTTGTCTGGGCTTTAATGCGAGTCAGTGCTTGTGGACAAGGGGCCGGGCCACCTTGTTGGGCCAGGGTGGGGACACTGCTGGTCTGCAAACCTGCCAGGACGGCCTGCTGTCAGCCTCACCCACACCACATTCACTGGAAGCCACTGTAGGTCAGTGCCCAAAGGAGAGGTGGGCCAGTGTCCTTAAATACGGGTGATGGGGAGAGAAGAGAGCCCTGGTGTGAAGTAGTCAGAGTGGTAGCTAAACTAAAAGTTGGTGGTTCACGGTCACTGAGACGCCCGTGGGAGGAATCTGGAGCCGTCTACACAGTGAGGATGGAGGCATGGGCTGGAGTTTGACTCTGCCCTATGGGGTTCCTGTGAGTTGGAATCAACTTGACCACTGTGACAGGAGAGGGAAGAGATGACGGGTTGGCAGGCAGAGTGAATCTCATCCATATTGATGGTAAAATTGCATTAAGGGCCTGAATTGTAGCTCTTTCTTGTGGAACCACGTTCACAGTCTCTGTCCTCTGGACCCGCCGTGGTCTTTCTCTCATCTACCCGGCTCTCCGGCTGGTGAACGTTCCTCATGCTAACCACGGCACCTCACTCTACACCCACATGTCGAGCGCGAGGGTGGTGGGCTGGGAGGAAAGCCCAGCTTCAGCAGTGGTCTTCTCAGTCTGGGTGGGTGTGCCTTGACTCATATTGTTTTATGTGAGTCTGCTACCATCATCCACTCGGACCCCTGGAGGACCGGAGCCCAGGCACTAAGCCGTGACCTGCGCCCTGCCCTCCCCTCCCCGGTGGTACGTGCTGACCCTCGCCCTCTGCTCTCTGTCTAGGATGCCGAGGTTCTGAACACGGCCATCCTCACCGGAATCCCCGTGTCTGTTCCCGTCAGAGTCGTCGGCGTGGAGGAGGACGGCTCCGTGGTGGACGTGTCGGGCTCCGTGGAGTGCAGGTCGGCAGACGAGGATGTCATCAAGGTAGAACGGGCCTGCATGGCTCTCGTGTTTTCTCTCCTTCACCTGTAAAAACGGCCCCCCTGGCTTCGGGTCACTCCTGCTCACAGTGACCCTCCACTGGGTTTCCGAGGCTGTAACTCTGACAAGGGTTGAGACTGCCATCTTTCCCTGGCAGAGCAGCTGGTGGGCTCGAGCTGCCAGCCCTGCAGTTTGCAGCCACCACCTAACGCAGCACACCAGCAGGGCTTCCTCACAGTCCACAAACATCTTCGCAGTGCTTTCAATTTCTGGTGCCACATACTATTCACTGAATAAATTTTCTCCAAATGCCCCTCTTTTCTAAAGTTTGAACATGTGTTTAACCTCATTGGAAGATAGAAATGAGCGTTGGTGGTGTTAAGCAAAAGGTCATTGGTTCAAATCCACATGTTGTTACGTGGGAGGAAGCTGAGGCATCTTTCTCCAGTAAACGTGTCTAGCCCTGGGGACAGTGTGGTGGCAGTTCACTCTACTGTACACAGCTGCGTGATACGCTGGGCTGCATGACTTGGTGTCTACTCAGTGACACTGGGTCTAGGCTAAGGCTTGGTGCACTACGTTTTTCACTGTTGCTGTTTTTGTTGTGTACTGTTGAGTCGGAACCGACTGGCAGCTGACCCTCTGGTGGGTTTTCAGAGGCAGTTAATCGCATGGGAGGAGGCTGCCCATCCTTCTCCCCCAGAGCAGCTGGTGGCCTCAAACCCACGTGTCTTTGGGATTGCAGCGCAGCTTCTTGCCACTAGGTCCCCAGCGCTGTTACATGCTACATCACCTAACTGACTGGTCACCAGTGGGCCACACTGTCTGCTTGCTCCCATTTTGAGGAGCTGGAGGAATGAGTGCACTTTTCCATAGTAACTAGCCTCTAATTTCCTCACATTCTTTTCAAGGGTTTGTTTGAGGCACCAGACGTAGTGCTTCTAGTTTTCAATATTTTTTTTTCTTGAGGAGCCCTGATGGCACAGTAGTTCAGCCCGTGGCGGCTGACTTCAAGGTTGGCTGTTTGCACCCATCAGCTGCTCGGCAGGACAGATGAAACTGTCTGCTTCTATACAGATTATGGCCTTGGACAGCTCTCCTCTGTCCAACAGGGTCCTACGAGCTGAAATAGACTTATAGCAATGGGTGGTGGGATTTTGAAGATTTTCTTTTGTCACTTGGATGAAAGTTTATAAATATTGGTTATTCAATCATTCATACACAATATGTTTTATAAGAATTACAATGGATTAATGTAATTCATTATAATGTCTATGATGATGATGTATTGCTGTTTGTATATGTGTATTAATGGGTTTATTTTTATTTAATGGACTTCTTTGGCAAAAGAGGCTTCAAGGAGAAAATATTTAGATCTCCAAAGCTGTCCTTCCTCCTTGAGGTTTCCAGGAGAGCTCCCAGGTCCCATCTACACATTCGTTGTAGGTAAACGCAGTAAAGCAGGGTTCTGTCCTTCCCGTAGGCTCCATTTAGAGGTTAAAGGAAACTTCGTCTCAAGCTTAGGACATTCCTTTAGGATTTTCTTGGGAAGAAAAGATCTGGACTAGTTAGTCTCTTCTTTCTGTGATGTACTGGAGTGGCAGAGATAGTTTTAATGAAGAAGAAGTAATATGTCTATGAGGCCTAATTAAAAGTTAATTACTACAAGGTCAGATAGGACATGGCACAGGCTGTTTCATGGCCTTAGATCTTCACTTCCCCTACCCCCCAAATAGAGATTGCCTCTCTTAAAGATGTGTGTGTGTGTGTGTGTGTGTAAATTCTTCACTCCTTATCTTCTGAGGCCCGGGCTTAATGAAACAAACCCACAAAAAACCCAGCACTGTAAACTTGACCTTGATTTCATACTGACTGTTTAGGATAGAGTAACTGGCTCCACAGGGGGCTTTCAAGCCTGTCCATCCTTATAAAAGCAGGCTGCCACAGCTCCCTCAAAGATCTGTCTTGATAGAAGTACAACCGGGGTGTTCCTTAGAGGCAAGGATGGTGAAAATTCATCCTGTATACTTTGGGCACATTGTCAAGAGGGCCTGTCAGTGGAAAAAGACATCATACTGGGGAAAGTACACAGTCAGTGAAGGAGAGGAAGACCTTCCACGAGGTGGACTGACACAGTGACTGTTAACAATGGATGGGAGGGCAGTGGGGATTGTGAAGATGGCACAGGAGAGGGCAGGGTTTGGAGGTGTTAGTTATAGAGTTGCTGTGAGTCCTAGGTTGCTTGACAGGCCCTCATAGCAGCATCTTCTCTCCCCATCCCGCCGCTGGTGGCAGGTGAGCTTGGTCTATGATCTTATTAGATAACAGCTGACCACTTACCTGCCATGCCACCAGGGTTCCAAATAAACCTAGCATCTTAAATATTCAGAGCAAAGACAGATCTGATCCAAATTGCATACGCTCATCTGCACAGAAATGAAAGATTATTTTGCAGTTAGTATTTTTAATATCTCTAATCTCTGCCTCATTTCACCTTGGGCCATTTGAATCACTCTGTAAAATTATGCACAATAAACATGAATGTGGAAATCAGTAAACAGAGTACCAGTGAAAATACATTCCATAATAAGAAGTGAGAAATGGGAGACGTACGATGATTGTAAAGGGAGTAAGGACACAACGTGGGGAAGCCGAGTCCGAACCCTACTAACTCCACAAAGAGGCACTGTTCCAGACAGCATCCACAGAATATAGCTGACCCCTGGAAGGGCAGATGCGGTCCCCTGCTACTTCTACTAAATGCTGGGCCTGATAAACATTGCAAATGACCACACAGACCTTACAAAAATCTCTTTTTACTTACAGTTATGGAGTTTATTAGAGAAACAGGTTGGAAGGGAGAGGAAAAGGATATCACACAATGAAAGTTCAGGTTAAGTAAACAGCAGTCCCAAACCAGGTGAACAGCAAGGCACAATCACTCAATATGTGGTTCCTCTGTTACTCCAGGAAGCTGTCTAATCAGCGGCAAGATGCCTCTGGTCCTGAGGGTGGTGGCTGCTTTCTCTGGTGGGGCTTCTTTTCTGCTTTCCAGTCTCAAGGGCTCTGGCTCTGTCTGGCTCCATGAGGCTATGTCTTGCCACCGTCTCTCATAGTCTAGTTAGCTCTCTTTCTTATGTTGGTCTCACAGCCGTTGACAACACTGAAGATGCTAGTCAACAATGAGCCATGTGTCACAGCTGAGACATCTGAAGGGTAGTGAGGTGAGCCTCAAAGATTCACTTTACCTGCATGGTCTCACTGGGTCGTATGGTCAGGTCCAAGGCAGTGGGTAGAAAAGTCGTCCTTAAAACTCCCAGCACCACGCTGACACATTGCTCTTGGCTGCTCTTATGTGTACACGGTTTGTGTTCCCACATCTTCATGGTGGAAGGAAGATTCTGTGACGGTGCTGGAGACGGGTGGCTGGGACATCCCTTACCTCAGTGGTCCCTGAGGCTTTGGTTTCTTCCCCAGAGCCTGGGGTGGCCCCTCCGAGATAGAATCCTCACTCTCCTGCCCTGGAGAGTGGGGAGCCCCAGACCAAAGAAGGGTCACATTCTTGCCTTATACTTGGTAGGTCCCTTTCTCAGGAATATATTGAAAATACCCTCCACTAGGCCATATGGATGACTACTTTGGAAAGCAATAGCTTTTTGTTCAACTGTCAACTTCCATGAAGAGTGTTGGTACAGTGGATAAGGCATATGGCGGTAAACCAAAGGATTAGCAGTTCAAATCCACCAACCGTTTCATGGTGGAAAGTGATGGGCAATCTACTTGTATCAAGAGTTACAGTTTTGGAGACTGTGTGAGGCAGTTCTACTGTGACGGGTCACTGTGAGTTGGAATCGATGTGATAGCCGTGGGTTTAGTTTTGGGGTTTGTGCTTGTATGAAGATGGTGCTTTTCTTCCTAGAAAATCATGGAGATTTTTCAAAGGAGCAAAACAGACTGCAGACTGCCACTCTTAGAGGTGCTTCAAGCCATTGTGGTGTCCACTGTGGGTTGTTAATGAATAGACTGTAATGCATTTGACATGGCTTTACTTTCGCTATTTATAATGCATCTGTAACAACGCCATGCTGAACAGAGTTGCCCACAGACCTTTGCCAGAGTTGCCCACAGACCTTTGCCAGGACTTTCCCAAAGGTGTGAAATGTTCATGCTAGCCCAGGCAGGGACCCCTCTGTCTGTACAATTGTCACTAGATCGCTCCATGAAGGTTCAGAGAACATTGCTTAGTCCCTAGAGGGGATGTTTGAGGGCTCACCAGAGTTTTCCTGGATGTTCTTGGTAGTGAGATCGTGATGCAGCTAAGAGAGAAATCATGAGTTTATTGCTGCTGTCCAGTTGGGTTCTGACTCCCAGCCGTCCTGTGAACAAGACACAGAAATGCTGTCAGGTCCTCGCAGTGGTGCTGTTTGAGCCCATTGTTGCAGCCATTGCATTTGGTCATTTTAAGGGTCATCCTTGCTCTCTTTGCCCATGTGCCTTACCAAGCATGGTGTCCTCCCCATAGACCTGTCCCTTCTTAGAACAAGGTCCAAAACAAGTATGCTGGACCTCACCATCCTCCCTCAGAGGAGCATCCTGTGAGTACTCTGCCAGGATGGTGTTGTTTATTATTTTGGCAGTTGGCCATTGTCTTTGCCAGCACCATAATTCAAAGGCAAGGATTCTTCAATCCTCCTTATTCACACTGTCCAACTTCCACATGTCTTTGGGACAGATGACAATACCATGACTTGGGGTGGGCACACTCCATTCTTTGACACTTGTGCACTTTGAACAGCTCTTTGGGAGCAGATCTGTCTAATGCAATGCCTTGTTTTAGTTCTTGGTTGCTGCTTCCATGAGTATGGATTGTGGATCCAAGCAAGTGAAATTCTTGACCACTTCAATCTTATCATCATTTATTACAGTGTTCCTCTTGGTTCAGCTGTGGGGATTTTCTTGAGGTGTAGTTCACACTGAAGTCTAGACTCTTTGATCTTCTCTAG